CAGAGAGCTCAAATGCACGATGCAGATTCTACTCTTGGGCATGAATACTACCCCGGAGTGACTGCAGCACTCAGCAAGGTAATTTGTCGGTGACACTCATAAGAAAAAATAAATTATCGATTCATTGTTAAAAAAATTACATAAATAAGTAAAACAACCAGAAGAGACGTCATAATTTTTAACAGAACATTTTACCTAAGAAGGAAAGAAAGTAATCAACTAAGTATGGAGATAATTAGCAACCATCATCAGCTCCAGAGTAAGTTCAGGTTCAATGTGGAACTCGGTCGCTTTACCCCTGATCAAATATCAACTCTTTTATCAGGGTAAAACGAAAATGTAACAATCATGATCTTCAAATTCATATACAAAATATATATGATAATATTGAATCTTAACTAAGTTATGCATGTAACATGATGTATGCATTAGATTCCCACAATTCATATAGAAAATGAAATCTAAATCCGATTTTTCAAATTTATGTTTCCAACATCGCACTAGAATATTTCATAAAATAAGTAACTTGCCTCGTTTATATCACAAGAAAACATGGAAAAGTGCTACAAAAGCTTGCAACGTTGACTTCACTCTAAGTATATCCATCTTAACAGGAGAAATATATGAATTGAATGGTCAAAGGCTTCCTAGAAACACTAATATTTTCTTCTAGCTTACTACAAAAAAGGCTTTCTTCTTGTATAATTTGATAATCCACCTTCAATATGATCCCCACAGAAGTTTAAAAAAATAGAAAAAAACAGAGTCGTTGTAGTATAGTGGTGAGTATTCCCGCCTGTCACGCGGGTGACTCGGGTTCGATCCCCGGCAACGGCGATTTAAACCTTTTACACAACTACCGGTAAATACCTTTATCCTGATCCATTGCTTCAGCCTTCAAACCAAGCACGTGGGGTTGAACTGCTATTGCTCCTTGAGTATTTCTACTCTTTTGGCTTTTGTTATCCGTGTTTGTGTTGCATTCATTCCGATATCATCCAAGAGCTTCTCTGGACACCAGAAGCACAACGGGCATCTATGATGACCGAAAGGATGACAAAAGTCGTCGAAGAGGTAAAAGTTCTTTCCAAGATATTCTCACCATGTTGCTATTAGTGATCATGCCGGAGATGTCCTAAAAAGGATTTACATGATCCCCGAAGAACGTTTCCACGTCATTCTAAACAGAGTCGATGAGGAAGTTTACAGATCGGAACCGTCTCTAGGGAACAATTTTATGCAGACGTAACAATTCCCAAAGGTGACTGAGAAAATTAAAATGATTGCCCGCCGTTTCATTTGGGGGTGGAACGGATGATCATCCGAAGGTGGCCCTTTGCAGATAAGAGTCGTGTTGTCAACCTATATCCCACTGGGGTCTTGGTCCGCAGCATCTTAAAGCTCAAAATGAAGCATTTTTTATAAAGCTTGGCTACAATCTCCTTACGCATCCTGAAGTTCTCTGGGTTAAGCTCTGTCGAGGTAAGTATAAAATAAGCTCGAACCTTCCCACTCAACTCGCGAAACTGTTCCTTCGTTTGGCGTTCCCTTTCCAAAATTTGGTGTTTTGTTCGTAACAATGTCTGTTGGACCGTTGGTAATGGGCAAAGTACCAAAATTTGGACTGATGCTTGGATCCCGGGGAAGTTTTCGATTATAGATAGAATTATCGATGATCGTATTAATAGTCTTTAGGACACTCTGAGCGAGTTCATTAATGTCAACGGCAATAGAGATTTCGCCAAATCAAATCTGGTTTTGGATGATGACATCATTTGGGATATTACAGCAATTCCCCCTTCCATCAGTGATGCGGGATCCGACCACCCGACTTGGCGTTGGGAGCCGTCAAGGCAATGTTCTGTCAGATCAGCCTATCACGGGCTTCATCGAGATGACATGGATCAACAGGATAACATTTAGAACCTGGCTTGGCAATTTGATGGTCCCCAACGATTCAGAAACTTCATTTGGCACATTCTGAGAAATCGACTCTTGACCAACGTGGAGAGAACTAGACGAGGCATATCATTGAATCCCCTTTGCTCGATCTATGGTAACCATGAAGAGACCATTCTTCATACCCTCCTGGACTGCTCGGCCACTAGAAATGTTTGGACTCAAGTCATGCCAAGTCAAAGAGTAGGGAGTTTCTTCAACCTTCCCCTATTTTATTAGCTAAATTCTAACTTAAATGATAATGTATATATTGATGGAATCTTTTATAGGTGGAGGCATATGTTCGGTATCATGCTTTGGAGAATCTGGAAGCAAAGATCTAACCTCATTTTTAATGGCGAGAGATGGTCCTTGGAGGCGATTGTCCAGAATGCTCGTGTTTGGGCCTATTCCATCTTGACCAGATCGAAGAGCTATTTCCAGCACACCAATCAGACGGAAAGTAGTCAAGCCTGGAGACCTCCCAATGTTGGAAGATAAACCAAAGGACCAGGGAAGTTGCCAATAGTGGTGTCATGCGCAACCACGAAGGAAAATGGATCGTGGGTTATAGCCATCACATCGGTTGTTGTTCAGCGCACCACGTTGAACTTTGGGGCATGTTGGACGGTCTCCATGTGGCCTAAAGAAATGGAGCTAGACGCCTCATAGTGGAGATAGATAATGCGGAAGACATCAGATTCATCACCACCCCTAGCCAAGGACATGAGCCTATTTTAGTTAGATCTAAAAGGGATTTGAAAAAGCAACCCTCTGGTGGTGTGGATAAAGTATAAAATATTATTAAACTACCTTGCATTAATTTTTACTAACAAATTAAATTATGAAAATGCTTTAAAGTCGATAGAAAATTTAAAATATAGAAATTAATAGACCCCCAATCAAAAGGAAGACTCTAATCTAATCTGACCCTTTACCCTTTTAAATTTGAAACATTTTCCTTTTTCTGGATACAAACAAAACACTATTTTTGTTTCCTTTTCGTATGTAGGAGATTCTTGTCTCTCAAGTTTGATATAATAGACAACAAGGGCGATATTTGACTTTCTAGAGTCGGATATTGGAAACAAAGGAAAAGCCTTGTTCTCCAAGCAGATCACTATAGTGAAATACTAGCTATGGTAACAAGATATTCGTGTCCTGTATTGATTCTGCACATAACTTTAAAAAATATATTTATAAATAAAATTAAAAATAATTGATAAATTTACTTGATTTATTTTGATAGATAAAAAAATGAGAAATCAAGCGATAAAAAAATATAAGTGTAATTGTTATTTGATTATTCTAATATAATATTTAAACGATATAATTTTAAAAATTAAAATAGACCCAGACGGAAAGAAATAATATACACATAATACATGAGCTGATGGAGAGCTGAACACGTGTGGTTATGGCCGCATCGCAGGTTGACATGTAAGTTGCTGATTATTGTCCATTCAATCAAATGACATACGCATTAACTATAGCTAAACCGCCTCGCACTCTTCAGTCAACTTCTGCAGCTAAATCCAAAGGCCATTCTCATCACAATGAATACTGAAATTTTGTTGCAATAATTTGATATTATCTCGAGTAATTATCATCTTATAAAGCAAATTCTTGTAGCAAATTGCTTGGGTTTAGGGATATAAACGAGATGAGTCGACTTTCAATAATATTAAAGTTTAATTTGATTTAAGAAGCCTAAATTCGATTCATTTTATAAGTTTATAAGTTTAAATTATTAAATTTAATTTGAAATTAAAAATTGAATCAAACTTGGAAAAAAATCCGAATTCAAGATATTATCAGATTTAATTTGATTGAAGCTTGATTCGATCTAGTTAAAACTTGAAACATTTTCATACTTACTACGATAAAAGCTTGAATTCAAATTTAGATTTAAACTTTAAGTACATAAAAATGTTAGAGGTATAAAAATCCGAGATGAAAAGAAAATAAAAAAAAATCAAATATTTTATGGATCAACAATTAGCTTCCATGGTGATTCATACAAGTCAGGTCAAACAACATTCAATTCTCGGTAATATCTCGTCTTAAAATTCGTGTACATAAATCAAAAATAAAACAAACACAATTAATAACATGAAAAATATTCGATTAAATAATATGAATATAAAACCATAAATATATGAATAGAAATAAGTTGAGACATGCAATTACACAATTTCCTTAAGATAGATTTTCGATCACTCCTTGGTGCTCGAGATCTTTGGTCATCTGTCTCGCAGGATATAACAACAAGATCACAAACTATTTTCTGTCTTCGCCTATCACCAAAAACTAGAGAAAATAATTTAAAAGAATTATTTTTTTGAGTTGTTTTTTAATTGTGTTTAACCTGGTTGGTTAACACAGTATTTATAGGGAGTTCACATTGTGAACAAATAGAAATTTTTTACCTAACGAAACATTAATGAGAATCAAACAATTAAGCAATTTCTAAAATTATTATTTTAATTAAAGGAACCTTTTAATATTTATCATTTTAATTCAAAAAATATTTTGAAAATATATTCTCTATTTGAGGAAAATATATCATATTTGGGTTAAAATATACACAAGCCCACAAAGAGTTAGATCTGTTCGGACATTCACGTTACCCTTATCATACACGTCTGCATATTTACGAACCAATAATTGGTTCTACATTTTCCTCAACAAAATTTGAATCAATTTCTCATTCAAAACTCTAAAATTATCAAATTTTTTCGACAAAAAAAATCTTGTACTACATTATATTTAAAAACAACATATAAATTGAATTCATTCAAGCTATCTGTTAATTAAATTTTAATCAAATTAAACCTAAATAATTTAAAATATATCCCATCTTATTTACGGCCCACTTGAATTATCTGAAAATGGTACACATTCCATGAACCCAGAAAAGATGATACAGTTGAGATAACATGTTGACTAACCAATAGCCGCAGAGTAACAGGGTCCCAATCAATATGTTTTTCAGACTCTTCAATCTCTTACAGGAAAGTTCTTTTTTTCTTTGGCCACACGGATCACGGGTCAAAACTCTCCGCTTCTATTTATTATTCAACACCACCTCTTCATCTTTCTCCTTATACCTTTCCCTTCCTCTTCGTCCTCTCATGCTGTCGCTGTCTCTATATTTAAGGTACGTTAACTGTTGTTCCTCCTTGCTTCTTCTTCACTTTTGTTGAACTGGTTCTTTCTCTTCATGCACTTGCTTGTTCGATTAATTTGTTTCTCTGTATGATTTGTTATGCCCATATTTGTTTAAATCTCATCAAGTTTGAATCTTCAAGGGGTCTTGTCTAGATATATCCGTAAAGCTTCGTCCTTCGATTTTATCAAATTCCAAGTATTTTTTGGCTCTGTAGTGCATGTTTTCTTAGTGGAATCCGTTGGCTTTTAAAGTGTTTTGACTTCCTATTTTTCCTTTTGGGTTGTAGAATTTGGGGGTTTTAGATGACCATGGATCCGAATTCCACTGAAACCTTTGATTACATCAATGGTTTCAAAGTTGAAGACTATGCATTCCACAATGGATTTCAATTTGATATCCCATCTCCAGATCTTAACTTTATACCTCCTGAACCCGACCCTGGCATCTTTGTTCCATCCATTACAAGTTCAGATGGTAGCTCTTTTTCAGGCTGGAGTCCGGTTGGGGAGTCTGATTCACCTCCTACTGACAGTGACTCAACCGATCCAGTCCTCAAATACATTAGCCAGATGCTTATGGAAGAAAACATGGAAGACAAGCCTCATATGTTTAATGATTATTTGGCTCTCGAAGACACCGAAAAATCCTTATATGAAGTCATCGGTGAGCAATATCATTCGAATACTCAAATAGAGAGTCCTAATAGTAATCTTTATGGTAGTAATGGCCATTCGAATACTCAAATGGAGAGTCCCAACAGTAATATTTCTGGTAGTAATGGCCATTCGAATACTAGTGTTGGCACTGGCAGTGACTGTAGTTATTATGTCGATCATCGCGGTGTTGGTGAAATTGGAGGGTCTGCTCTTTCCTTGTCACAGGCTCCTTACTCTTTGCAGCCCACTTTGGAACAGTCTGGTCCACATTTTAGTGTAAACTCGGTTAATAGCTCGAGTAACATTGGTAATGGGATGATGGAATCTTCGGTTAGAGAGCTTCTTGTTAAGAACATCTTTAGTGATAAGGAATCTATGTTGCAGTTCCAGAGAGGGTTTGAGGAGGCCAGTAAGTTCATTCCTAGTAATGAACAACTAGTTATTGACCTAGAGAGCAACACATTTCCCATTGGGAAAAGGGGGGATGTACCAAAAGTTGTAGTCAAGGCGGAGAAGGATGAGAGGGAAAGTTCATCTGATGGGTTGGCGGGTAGGAAGAATCATGATCGTGACGATTGGGAATTGGAAGACGAGAGGAGCACCAAGCAATCGGCAACTTATATAGAAGAGAGTGATCTGTCTGAAGTATTTGATAGGGTGTTACTTTGTACTGAAGGAAACAATATGTGTGGTACCAATGGAACTGTGAAGCACAGAGAAACCAATACGTTGCAGCAGAAAGATCTGTTGAATGGATCTAGTGTTGGAAAAACTCGGTCTAAGAAAACAGGGAATAAGAAAGAAACTGTGGATTTGAGGACTCTTCTGATTCTATGCGCACAGGCTGTTTCTGCTGATGATCGTAGGACAGCGAATGAACTGTTAAAGCAGATTAAAGAGCACTCATCCCCTCATGGTGATGGAACTCAGAGGTTGGCGTATTTCTTTGCAGATGGCCTCGAGGCACGGTTGGATGGGAGTGGAGCTCTAGTTCACAATTGTTTTGCTTCTCTAGCTTCCAAGAAGACAACAGCTGCTGATATGTTGAAAGCTTATAAAGCTTACCTTTGCGCTTGTCCATTTACGAAGCTAGCAATTGTCTTTGCAAACAAAACGATTTACCGTGTGTCTCAGAAAGCAAGTGTCCTTCATATTGTAGATTTTGGTATTCTGTATGGTTTCCAATGGCCCATTCTTATCCAGCATCTCTCAAAGAGACCTGGAGGGCCTCCTAAGCTACGCATAACCGGACTCGAGATTCCCCAACGTGGTTTCCGCCCAGCAGAAGGAATTGAAGAGACAGGTCGTCGCTTGACAAAGTATTGTGAGCGTTTTGGCATTCCATTCGAGTACAACCCGATAGCAGTTGAACACTGGGAAACCATCCGGATTGAGGACATGAAGATCAATCGCAATGAGATGCTTGCCGTGAATTCTCTTTTCCGGTTTCAGAATCTACTTGATGAGACCGCCGAGGTGGACTGTCCGAGGAATGCCGTGTTGAAATTGATCAGGAAAATGAACCCAGATATTTTTGTTCACAACATAGTGAATGGAGCTTACAATGCGCCCTTCTTTGTTACAAGGTTCAAGGAGGCTCTATTCCATCTCTCTGCAATATTTGACGTATTCGAGAACACATTACCTCGTGAGGATCCAGCTAGGTTGATGTTCGAGAGGGAGTTTTACGGGTGGGAAGCAATGAACGTTATAGCATGTGAGGGCTCGGCAAGGGTTCAGAGGCCAGAAACATACAAGCAATGGCAGATTCGTACGATCAGAGCAGGATTCAAGCCGCTTCCGTTGGAGCAAGAACTGATGAAATTAGTCTGTCATAAGTTGGAGGCTTGTTACCACAAAGATTTCGTAATTGATGAAGACAACAACTGGATGCTGCAGGGATGGAAGGGCAGAATTCTTTATGGTTCGTCGTGTTGGGTACCTGCATAGGAGCCTCGACCGGAATATCGGCTGCAACCAAGGAGGCGTACCTGCATAGGAGCCTGGACCGGAATATCGGCTACAAGCGAGATCGCCTCCGAGACATTCCTTTGGAAAGGATAGTTTCAAACTATGGGGAAGCTAACACCCCAGTTCACACACACATCGTTTGTATACATACATGCTTTGCTGTTTTTCATATTGAGATGTGTAATCAAATAGTAATTCCTCTCCTGCTTGTTTTCCCTGATACTGGGGTGATATCCATTATCCATGGGGGACATCTCAGCTTTTTGTAGTAGTGCATTAGTACAAAATTAATCCATGAAAGTGGAATTTTGTAGAACTTTTTCTTCCTACAGTATCAACGGCAGGGATTTAAATTAGGCTTAATATCCATCTACGTGTTGATGGATTTTTGTATGGTTCTTTAGTTTCCACTTTACGGTGATGATCGGAAAACAAAGGCGTTGTTTTCTGCTTCATTGGAGCCGGTTGCAGGCCAAAACAGTTCACAATGATTTAGTTAGTTGATGATTCAATGGGATTGTGGGATATTATACCAAAACTTGTTGCTATATATGATTAACAAAATGCTATTGATAAATTATATTAAAGGTTAGTAGAATCATTTCAAAGATTAACAAAATTGCTTGAAAAGATTATCAAAATAATACTAAAAGTAGTCAAAATAACAATAAATATTGTCAAAACAATATAAAAGTCATCAAAGATGAAGAATTAGACAGCCTAGTTTTTATATTGATCTTGGAAACCAAAGAACATGAAGTCGAAGATTGAATTATATTTTAGTTTAAAATATTTAAAATTCAAATATTTTAATTAATTGAGGCCCAATTCCATATTATTTTAGATTAAGATCGCTTCAAGTATATCTCATCTTAATATAATTTTATAAATTAATTAAATTAAATCTCAGAATAAAGACCTTGATGAATAAGGTAGGGCACCCTAACAATTAATGGTTGCTTTAGTATTGATTTTGAAAAACGCGGTTGAAAATGTTTTTAAGAAGTTTAACTTAAAATTTAAATATTTAGTATTATTATCGAAATAATATTACGTATGAGTTTTATAAAAATATATAAAATTAAATTTATAATAATTGTATCGAGTTTTATAAAAATATATAAAATTTAAATCAACTGTCAATTAGTCTAGATATGATGTTAGATTGTTTTAAGTAAGGTTAGAAGTTCGAATTCTAAAATTGTGAATAAAACAATTGAGTTGAGAAGATTATCCTTACTAAAAAAGTTTTGAATAATAACGGTAAACCTATAGACAAATTCAAAAATATTTTTCAAAGTAGATATGTATATTATTAATAATAAAAAAATTTATATATGAGATAGTCAATTAAAATTTTACATATAATTATAAAAACAAATAAATATTTTTAAAAAACTTAGATTTCAAAATAAACTCGTAACTCGTAACTCTCACACAAATATCATTTAGTCAATGGGTAAATTGATTTTAGGAGGCATGGGAGAGAAAACGAGAAAGTCTAAAAGATAACAACCTAATTTAAGATTAAAAAATTATAATTTAAAACGCAATCGAAAATATGATAAAAATCACAACATTTTAGGTTGAATACAATCTAAAATATTTATTATTCTCTTAATATCTAACTTAAAATATTATTTTATTATATTTTTTAATTAGGCTTAAAATCATTGATATCTTATGTTAGATTAGCATACAGCAGAATCACGTATAGGAAACACCATTTAAAAGCGTAGGGATAAAGGATCCCAACCCAAGATTCCGAATAAAGACAGGGAACAGGTTGTTTGAGATAATTGGTCAACAAGAAAAGAATCAGGTGGATGAATGATTAAATAATAAAATGAATTTTCTCGGGAAAATATCAGAAAGCGAACAGATACAACACAATCACGAGAGTTCTCCGCAAGTGGGGAGGTAAAAGTAGAGGCAATCTTATATTAAAAAATTTAAATAATTAATTATTTAAAGAAATAAAACCTTTTAAAAATTATTTGAAAGAATAACCTCAAATTATTCCCATAGGATAACATCACGGTTTTCAAATCGTATGTGAAATCCTCGCATCATCCAACACGTAAGATATATTCGATGGGCACACTTTTTAAGTAAGCCAATAAAATAATTGGATAAAATGCATTGCGAAGCATGAGGTAGCCTTTATGATCTAAAATATCGTAAGATTTATAGGGACCTCGCGGCCTGCAAAACAAGAGTTCTTTTAATTCACTACACTCCCTTTAGTGTCTATAGCCTTGTTCGGATACTATTTCTGGGTAGGAAACTAATTTTTTTAATTTTTAAGTATAAATGCGTAATGTTGTCTATCTTTAAGGTGACTATAATATCAACATATATAGACATTTTAAACGGGTAAAAATGAAGTTGAAAATAGTTATAATCATGGTTTTTGTGAAGGAAGAAGAAAAAAATGGTCTGATATACATTTTAGAGTGTTATTTTTTGCTTGTAAATATAAGTAATGTGTTATTAATAAAAAAGAAATAATGTAAAAAGCCCATTTCCCTTTAGTGTCTATAGCCTTGTTCGGATACTATTTCTGGGTAGGAAACTAATTTTTTAATTTTTAATTATAAATGCGTAATGTTGTCTATCTTTAAGGTGACTATAATATCAACATATATAATACATTTTAAACGGGGTAAAAATGAAGTTGAAAATAGTTATAAATCATGGTTTTGTGAAGGAAGAAGAAAAAAAATGGTCTGATATACATTTTAGAGTGTTATTTTTTGCTTGTAAATATAAGTAATATGTGTTATTAATTAAAAAAGAAATAATGTAAAAAGCCCATTTAATTAATAAGTGTGCCTGAACGATTGAGACATTTGTTCTTCGTGTGTCCGAGATTATTACATATAAAGCATAATTTCAGTTGTCATGTTCTTTCTTGAAGTTCGACCAAATCCTCGTCACAAAAAATCTGGGTTGATCGTAGACGACCAGTTTTATTCGTCGTAGTGCATAATATGGCCGTGTTGTAGGTTCATCGTCAACTTCATCCAAATCCCATTCATTTCCAATGGGAGGGAACTCATATTCATAAACACTGAATATAGTTTCAAGTAAGTAAATCCGATCAACGAATCTCATGCAGGGTATCTGAACAGAAAAAGTAACAATAATGGTGTGCACACACGGGTATTTGAAAGTTTGGAAGAATCCACACTCGCATATTTTTCTCGTAAATTAACCACGTATGCGCTGTGTTGTATGCCTTTCAATGGCCTCGTAAATTTCGATACACAGAATGATGACATTTCGCGATAGAAGCATATAACACTCATCGCGTTGGAATAGTGTTGGAATGTTTGCAATTTTTTGAAGTATGGGTGGATTTGGTGGCCACCTGCCATCCAATCAATTGCTTATCTTTCCAATGTTACGAAAAGGGTTGTCATTTGATAATATGTTACTTTGACAAAGAACGTGATAAATAAATGACACTCTTTTTAATGATGAATTTATTGTCTAAACCAAGTTCGTTGTCATGTGAACATATCGTCTACCCCCATCAAATGATCAAAACTATTTCTCATTTTGGATTCTAACAAGGTAGTTGAAGCCATCAGAATTCATGTATCTTAGTTCCTGCATCAGGTTCTCAAACTCATGTACAGATTGTGTGTAACCTATCAAGAAAAAGTGGAACAATTAATTTGAAATAATTTTTAAAAAAATATGGTAAACCGAAAAAGATGAAAGACATACACATTCGAAGCACCATTAGATGCTTATATTGACTTTTGAACTTCTGCAAATAGTTTGTGACAATATGTCGTAAACAGTACCGGTGATAAATATTAGGGGGTTGACAAAACGGACATATACGCTGGAGTGTGTATTTGATACCAACGCCTCTGTCAGAAATAAGACAAATCTCATCATCTCTATCCTGCATCACATGTGATAGAACTTTGTAAGTTCGTAAGGAAGAATTCCCAATAGTCGATATCTTCCTTTTCAACAATTATGAAGGCGATGGGAATAGGTTTTCTGTTACCGTCTTGTATAACTATCAATAATATTATTTGAGTAACGACATATAACCAAGTGTTGTCGATTTGAATGACTTGCAGTGTCAGAATGCATTAATGCATTGCCAAAAAATCCAAAAAAATCGATAGAATTGGCAGAGATCTTGTACAACACAATCATTTTCGTACGCTTGGACTATTTTCAATTTCACAACTATTCCTGTAATATGTTTCTGCATCAGTTTAAACCATGACCGTAATTCATTGTATGATTCCTCCCATTGGCTGAACAATTTTTGTTGGGCCTGATACCTTGCATACCATGCTTTGTGGTAGTCAACTGTATACCCGTATAGCGATCTAACTGAAGTAATACAGTTGCAATTGTAACACGTGGATTTGATTTGAGTAGTGGAATTAAGGCTTCAGAAAGCACGTGCACATTCAAGTTATGATGATCTTGATTCAGGATTTTGGTTGTGCATGTATGTGGTTGAATGTATTTTGTGAGTTTACAAAGGTTGTTCATCGTCTTCAACCGTGATAGACGAACCCTCTAATTACATCCCTACTTCTTGTGGAGACATTCAATGATGTACTTGTCTGCATCAATTTTTTTCACAATTGATGTAAAGGAGCGACATACGTTGTAGTTCTTGATTTCAGCCACAACTTGTTCTTTTGTCCTAAAAATCATTCGTAAAAAGAGTAAAAATGCTAACTTACTAATAAACAAATCAAAATAAATAATGAAAAATTAAAACATTAAAGTAACATGAAAACCATTCCACATAGAGATGATCATCACTATGTTGATTGTATTACTCATTGTGTGGGAATTGGGAAAATTTCGGAACGTTGAATGCTTCCATATCAATTGTTATAAAGTACGATGGTGGATGATAATAAGAAATAGGCGTTGCAGTATGTGGAATCATTATAGTCGCACCGTATTCTTTGTTGTCTTCTGCTTTTAGTGGTATGTCAAGGTCTTTCGGTTCTTCATAGAAGGGGCCTAACTCATCCACATCAGGGTCGAGCTCCCTTATTGGTTTTTATCAGAATGACCCCCTCAAAGTATAATAGTTCAGCCTCATTTAAATTAAAGTGAGTCGCTGCTGTAGGTGGAATAGTTCATGAGAAATCATCGAACGAGTTAAACGTGGAATGTTACATTGGTGGCATGTTCGAGTCAAAATCG